TGGTTAGGAGCATACACATTTACTATTGTAACCATTTTATGATATAAAATAGCCTTTAAAAATATATATCTGCCCTCCTTGTCCCTTTCAATCTGCTTAAGCTGAAATGGTACTGTAGAGTGAAAACATATAGCAACCCCCTTAGATTTAGCTATTGGGTTGTTACTAGTGTACACCTGAGGGTAGTATCAAGATTGCAAACCGGGAGTTTTCGCATCCTTGAAATGGGTTTCCTGAAGAAACAAGACCTGTGCCCTTTTCTTATGCACGTGGTAGATAGTTTGCGAATGTTTCCTTGGGTCATTTAGTCCCCTATTCAAGGAGACCCATTTCAATACTGTCATTTTAGAAAATCATAAAAACATTTCATATGCAGATCAATAATGCAGGGAGAGAGAAAAAACAATTTAACCCCCCCCCCCCACCTTCTCAACCCTCGCATCCCTTCCCTATACCCATCCCCTAAATATTTGTACATTCTTCATCCCATATACACAGTTGGACCTATACAGTGTCCAACTGTGCACCCTATTGGGAGTAAGAGATACCAATTGCGGTGCATCTATGCCTTAAGCAAACCCGAGCACCTATTCAATACCATATTCAATTACTCATTATATTATATTATTTTGTATAACTTATCAAGAGCGAGAAAGAGATAAATAACGCAAACAAAAAAAAAGGGAAAAGGGGTAGATGGGGGTGGGGCGGTAGAGGAAGATCCCAAGCTAACACATCCCCTCACCCCCTCATGTGTCCCATTATCCTAGGTGTAATCATTGGAGCATAACATCTCATAACCAAAAATTTAAGTGTTCCCTATCCTAATTTCTCCATCCCTTCCCTCCCTTCCTTCCACCTCTTCCCTCACTTCCATCCCATCTCTTCCTTCCAGTGTTACCCTGTACTCCCACTTCTAAATTCCCCTGTGTTTACTCTCCTTACTTCCCTCATTAATTATCTTATAATATTCCTTAGGAGTTTCCAATCTCCCTCCTCTCACCTCCTCTTTCCCTCCTCTTCTCCCCTAGTGTATTGTGTAACAATTTATTTATCTTGCCCCTTCCACACTCCAATCAAAGCAATGCTTATCATATCCATTTTTTAAGTGCAAAAACATATTGAGATATTGTCCTAGTGAATAATACAACAACCTAAATACTCACAGAGATCTTCATATCCCACCAGCCCCCTCCCCAAAGTCCCCCCCTCCCAAAAAAAAGTGGGTATACACCCTAACTAAACAACTAAATCAAATTTCTCTCCCCCTCTCTCTATATATATATTAATACCTGCAGATATCAATACCTATGAAGCATATTAAATTAAATAGACAGCTGCTTCTGTTCAATTTACTGTAATCCCCCCCTCATGCAAACATTCTTGTTATTTATGTTTCATCGAAGCATTGAGGTAGCTGAGGTACTGAAGATATCAAAGACATAGGGGGACCTGGCCACATTCCAAGTTCAACTGCAGGAATCCCCAAAGCCGCTGTAAAGGTCTCTACATCGTCTGGTGAGCGGAAGATAACTGCTTTACCATTTTTCCGGGCCATTAAATGGAAGGGCTACCCCCATCTGTATGGTATTGTCACGTACCTGGTGGGGAGCCGAGTTGTGAGGAGGCCTCCTTTGCAGCACGAGTTCCACACCCCTGAATGTGGAGACATGGGGTGGGGGAACAGCGGGCAGCACCGGTGCCAGAAGATGCAGGACACTGGGCCAGGGCATGTCCTTGATGCCCGTCTTCAGTGAAGCAGGAAGCAGGTGTTGATGCGGCTGGAGCGGTGTCGGGCAAGCCAGGGTCAGCAACAATCGGGCGGCAAGGTACAAAAGGAGAAGGCAAAGGAGAATCCGGGGACAAGCAGAAGTCAGAGGCAGGCAGCAGTCAGGCAAGGTCAAGGAATGCCTTTTTTAACCTAAATAAATCTTTTACTGCACCATGAAGATTCCTGTGTCTTTCATGTGAATGGAACTTTGAAGCCGTCCAGTCATCGAACCTCTGAAGGACGCAAAGGTTCCTTACTCCCAATGACTCATTTACAATCTGATTACCGGGCATTCAGGGACTGAACAAACTCTTTTGAAGCGTCTGAAAGTTTCTAATTGTTGTTCGACCCAAACATGCGTGAAGGCTGCTAGATCGGACAGCAGAACAGTGTGGTGAGTGCACAGCCTCTTAACAGGGGAGTGCAGTTTCACAGAAGGATTTTCTTCACTTAGAAAGTTTGTATCTACTTTTATACACTCTGATAGTTTTTATTTTATTTCCATTGGTATGTAACTTCTCACTAACAACATTTCAATTATGTTTTTTTAGCTGATTCAGCCTATTTTGTTTGAAGTTTCACTTTGACACGTTCACAATTCTCTTTCCTTTGTTTGGTACAAGTTTTCACGATTTATTTTTTCAATATTGATTACTAAGTTTGGTTCATACATATGACACAGTTTAGTTTTTGTCACAGATTACTTTTTCACTGGGGAGGTTAGATAGCGCTGTACACTCACCCTATACATCAGTAATAGATACCAGGAGCCAGGGTACAAGATAGTGACCAGATGGTACCGCACTCCGCAAAACTCTTCACACACTATTTCCGGATACCCCTGACCTCTGTTGGCGATGCCAGCAACCAGTGACAGACATGCTCCATATTTTCTTGTCCTGCTCGGTCGTCCGGCAGTTCTGGGAGCAGGTACACGCTCTCACTCAGAAATCCACGGAGAGCCAGGTGCCCCGAGACCCGGTCACTCATCAAACATGCCATCAATGCAGCACGGGCATGTATCCCATCCCTGTGGAAGAAACCTGAACCCCCCGCATTGGTCAGGTCCTGGATCGCATACATGATATCTCCCTGATGGAAGACCTCACGAGTTCACTCAAACATACCTCCATACCCTTTGCTCACACCTGGTTCCCCTGGATGGAATACGTCCTGTCCCCTGAATACCTCTCACTTAGACAGGATCCTGGTGGGACTATGCCGCCATCCGTGGGGTAAAAGATACCGACTTGTACACCCTTTACCATCTCATGCCCACCCCTCATCACCTCCATCTCCTCCTCCACCTTTATCTACCTTCTAGTCCTACTACACCTGGCCCACTTTCTTCCTATCTCACCCCCAGCTCTTTTCTTTTTCTTTCTTCTCTCTTTCTCTCTCTCCTCTCACTCTCTCTCCCCCAGGATATATCCGACACATTGATGCCAATAGTACCTCATAAGCAGTCTGTAGCATTATTGGGGTGTTATGTCTTCTGCCAGTTACCCTTCCCCTCCTATTAACCCTTAGTGAATGTGCTTTGATGACCCTCTTCTGGGTGCCTTCACTATGTCCTAATTCCACCAACGGTGTAGACCCATATCACAATGTGAAGAAGTGAACACATCTACCACATTTGCCTTGATAACTTAATGTTCTTTGCATGTACATTATTATACGATGACTTACTGACACTGTATTGATGCTATTGTGAAGCCCTTGTGGGAACAAACATATTTTGCTTGCATAAGCCTGTTTTCTATTTGTAAACTATGCAAAACCTTAAATAAAGAATTTATTAAAAAAAAGATTGGTTATCTTCTTCTTGAGATGTTTGATCTCTCTGTTGAGGTCAATCACAGAATCTGTACCAAACGCCCTAATTGCATCTGAGAGAAACAAGATTGCTTCAATCTCATTGGATGTGTATGGTTGGCTGCTTGTATGTTGTATAGGTGGAAGTATTCCACTGTCATTATCCATGGAAACCACCGTGTGGAGTCTGAAGACATGCAAATGTCAGTACAAATGATAAGGTCTAATTGCTGATCCAAGCAATATACGAAAAGTTACAACCGGGGGAAAATGCCAAAGTCCAATAGCGTATTGATGTATCTTGCTGCACTCCTTATCGGATAAAATGAAAATCTGTCTGATCCAGGTGGGTGCTTGCAATGACCACGGATGGCACTGTGCAATATCATGAAGTCCAAGAACGTCATCAGCACTCCAGTATTCACAATTATACTGGGTGCTGGTGACGTTCTTGGACTTAATGACATTGTGTGAACAGGGCACAATTGTTTTCTATGTGGCCTAGTGGTGGGCTGCATTTTCTTGTGCAGAAAAACACAGGTCACCGCTGTAGTGTAACTGACCCTAAGGGAATTATCTTCACCCCTTCATCACCTCATCTTCACTTACATTCTTAATATGAACTTAACTATGGATCATGCAAAAGTAACACACTTGCAAGTATGCATGCATGCACTATTTTTAACTTGCAACTGTACTGTTTGCTTTAAAAAAAACTTAAATTCTGCTTTAAGAAAGGGAAAAAAAATCAATGTTGCTGCAACAACCACTGATCAAATGAACAAAATTCAGCCTGACTTTTTTTTAAACTAGGGTATGGATTCTGTGCTTACCCATCTCCCCAGGTATTGCGTATTAGTAGTGCCTGGGAACTTAACGTCCTAACGTAGAAGCACCATAGATAGTTTCAGTACCGTCTCAATAACTTGTGGAAAGAAGCTGTAGTCTAAAATATTGGCTAGGAGAATGGTCCGTTCCTGTCTGATGAAGTGAAGGGTCCCTTTTCCTTTTTTCTCAATAAATATGAATTGAAGCAGTTGGAAGTAGGGGTCCGGGTCTTGATCCTCTATTTCTAAGTATGGTGCTTACAGTGGATTTCTGCTTAGCCACCCGCTGAATTATTACTGTGCTCCTGGCGCATGAAAATTATGTAGTGGCTGGAAAACTGAATCACAGTGTGGTTCTGGGATGGATAGAATGTGCTTGTCAGTTATACATTCTTCTAGTTTATATTTTTGATCAAATCTCTCTTAAGAGATTTCAATTTCTAATGTCAAAGTAAATTAAATATCCTGTATCTGGGTTTTAGATTGTATTTTCTAAGTGAAATTAACTTATGAATGTCTTATGAAGAACTTTACCTATCTCTGTGTGCCTAATTAAAGTTTATTTCATTCATATTTTTTTGTGTCAGACTTCTGAATTGGGTGTCACAGAACACGTGGAAGGAGACCCATGTAAATTTGCACTTTGGATTGGTAGAACTCCAACGTCAGACAACAAAATTGTCCTTAAGGTGAGAACAAACTGAACTGCAAAATTAATGTTTTGAGTTATTCAATACCAAGCACACATGGAAGTGTTAATGGTGATTGTCCCAAAAAAGTGAATGATTTTTTTCTAGAACTTTTAAAGGAAATGGAAAGGAAAGAAAAATGCAGTCACTGTAACTTTCTAAAACTCAAAAATATTCAATGCAATATGGTGACCTGAAAGCATTCTGTACACAGTTGGTGTACAGAACTCCTCTGAAATGTCACTTGACTGACTGATTTTCCCAGAAGCAAAATTTTAGGCATCCCTTGCAATTGTAATTTAATTTGTGGGGAGTTCATTGCTACTAAAGATATACAGACACTGCAGCTTTTGTCAGTACAACACAGAATGCCCACCAGCTGATTTTAACTAACCTACTTCCTTCCATACAGGGAACAGTTTGGACATGGTGAAACAAACTGCCATTCCTTCAGAACAGAAACTGGCAAGAATTTAAATCATTGCAAAGGCAGAAATAGAGGTCTCATAGTTTGTCCCAGATAGGCAAAATGACTCTTCTCCCCAAACTGCTTTATCATAAACCATGATACCACTGAATGTTTGATCCTGAGCCTTGATGCCGAAAAGGCGTTTGACCTCCTTAGTTAGCCATTTATGGGTTCTACTCTGAAACACGTTGGGATACAGGGCTCATTTCTGAATGCTATTATTAACCTTTGCACTACTCCCTCTGCTGCTATAAAACTTCCTTGTGTACTCTCTTTGCCCTTCCCGATTTGTAATGGCACAAGGCAGAGATATCCTCATTTGCCACTTCTTTTCGTCCTCTGTATCGAACCCTTAGCTGCCTATATCAGGAATTCTCCAGACATCTCTAGCGTACGTATTGGTGGTCAACAATAAAGTGACATTAAAGGCTGTTTTTTTCCCCCCACCCAATGTTTGTGTAAGGACTTACCTTAAATCATGCCTCTTCATCCGATCATCTTCTTCTTTAGTGTCATTTTCAGATGTCCCTCCAGCGCTGGCGCGGGTCTCCGATCCAGCTCTGGCTCCTGTCCTCCTCTTCTCTGATGTCCCAGAGAGTCTGTGCGGGTGCACGCTGCTCCATAGACTTACCTTGTGTCTCTCCTTGTCTCCCGGCCAAACATCTGAACTGCACATGCGCCCGCCCCAAGATCCTTTGTGGCCGCCCGAGACTCTTCAGATGTTCGGACGGGAGCATGCGGCGAAGTTTAAACCGGTTTGAGAAGGGCTTTTTTTTGTTTGTTTTTTAGTTTTTGCATATATGTACTGTTTGCTAGCAGTAGATATATGCAAAAACACGCTGAGGGTTTAATAACAAAAAAAAAACAAAAAACAAAAATGTGGTGAAAATCTAAATATTATACACACACCTATATAGTGTCATATTACACCTATAATAAATATACCGTGCAACTCAGTGCGCTCTCATTCTTTTCTGAATATAGAGGGTTAAATATCCAGAATGATAGTAACAATATAGCAAGCAGTCCTTTCAAGGATTAGGTAGTATGCATGAGATGAGGTTAAAGCGGTTACTTTCCTTTTTTCAATGCTAGGGGGGCAAAATTCTCGGGATATATCTGTGACAAGTCTGCCGTGATGTGGGTGCCCAAGTATCAAATGTATCGGGGTGCCCAACGAAAATGATAGGTGTTTTGAAGCTGTGTCAGCACTGGGGAAGGCAAGGAAACATTGAGCGCCTCTGACTTAGTGGGGTTCATCAAAAAATTAGATAGGCTTCTGTAAAGTTCAAATGCCCTAAGCAACGCTGGTATGGACGAATGGGGACGAGAGAGGAAAAAAAGCAGATCATCTGCATACGCTGCCAACTTATGTGAACCTGAGGGTAAAAGTATCCCTGACACGGAATCATCTGCCCGAATCGTACAAATGAAGAGTTCTAGGGATAGGACAAAAATGAGAGGTGATAAGGGGAAGCCTTGTCTAGTACCGTTCGAGATGGGGAAGTAGTCCGACCATGTCTCATTGACATTCAATGCAGCCGTGGGAAGGGAATATAGTGACGAGATCCAGGAGCACATATTGGGACCCAATCCGAAATGTCGAAGGGTTGACTGGACAAACTGCCAATCAACCCTATCGAAGGCTTTCTCTGCATCCACAGACAAAAGCATCGACGGGCATGCGCAATGACGTACAGATTTGACCACATTCAGTACCCGAATGGTATTGTCTCGGGCCTCGCGAGAGGGGATAAAGCCAACCTGATCAAAGTGAACTAAGGTGGCAATGTAAGGTAAGATACGGTTGGCCAGAATTTTGGCAAATAACTTAAGGTCCACATTAGGAAGGGCAATTGGGCGGTAGCTAGCGCACTAGGCTGGGTCTTTGTCTGCTTTCAGGAACACTGTGATATGTGCCCGCAGAGAGTCCAGAGGCATAGGGACCCCTTCAATTAGTGCATTGTAAGCCTTTAGGAAATGCGGGGCAAGGAGGGATTCAAATTGACGGTAATAAACCAGAGTGAACCCGTCCGGTCCGGGTGCCTTCCCCGCCTTCATTTGTTTGAGCGCTAAGGCCAATTCCTCCTTGACCTCCGGCTCCAGAGTGGGTAGGCCTGACCGCCGAAGATAATCTGCAATGCGCAGCGCTCGGTCTGCCGCTGCTGCGTCTGAGCGGTCTGGATGTAGATTGTATAGGCGACTATAAATGTCGGCAAACTCCGCTGCTATATCCTTAGATAAAGACAGTTTTGACCCAGAGCGAGAGAGAACGTGGGATATTGAAGGGTTTCGAGCGAGTACCCTGAAGTGCCCTGGCTAGCATGCATCCGGGCTTATTCGGGAACTCGTAGAACGTGTGCCTACAGGTGATCAGGCGCTGTGTCGAGCGCTGGAACAATAGAGAGTTCAAGGACGTGCGGGCCTGTTGCAAGGCAATCTGTACCCCCAGGGCCATCGTCCTTTTATGTTGGGTCTCCAGTGTTCGAATGCGCTTCAACAGCTGAATCACCTGGTCCGACCTCTCTCGTTTACGGCATGCCCCATGTCTAATGAGGATTCCCCGGAGGACGCATTTGTGAGCTTCCCAGACCGAAAGGGGGCTAGTGTTGGAAGGGCCATTGGTGGCAAAGTATGACCGAATCGCCCCCTCCAAGTCGGCTCGTATCATTGGGTCCTGTAGGAGGGACTCATTAAGCCTCCAGGACGGTTTGGTCATGTAGGGCGGTAGGAGATCCAACACTAAGTGAACCGAGGCATGACATGATCAGAGAGGAAAATAGTATCGATTGATGCTGCTCTCACCGAAGGTAGGTCTTTATGTTGAATGAAGAACAGATCCAGTCGGGAGTAAGTCTGATGGACCTGGGAGAAATATGTATAGTCCCTATCCCCGGGGTGCAGCAAGCGCCAAGTATCAACCAGGCGAAGAACATTCAGTTCTTGTTTCAGCTTTTTGAGATAGGGATATAATAGGTGGGAAGCCCCCCGGGACTTCGCCCACCCTGCCCTTGACAAAGAGATAACGACCTTCGGGAGCCTTGGCGTAGGTCGAGCAGGCACCATGGAACAGACCTGGCTACCAGCACCCTTACCCCTTTGGATTTGGAGATAGGAGAGGTGGCGTGGTATACCACTGGAAAATCTTGGTTGCTCAGTCTGGGAAATGCGCCCTGTTTAAAATGCGTTTCTTGCAGGTACATGATATGAGAGCGTGATTTTTTCAGGTCCACAAGGAGCCTAGATCGCTTTTCTGGAACGTTCAGCCCCCTAACATTGAAGGAAGACAATTTGAGTGAGCCCCCTGCCGCGTGATGGAACCCATCCCTCCCCCCAACCCCCCTCCCAAAAGTCACCGACCATACTGAGTACCCGGATCAAACTCTAACCAGTGCAGGAGGAGCACTCAGACGAGGGGACCGTCTGCAATGGACATAATAAAGGGGGAGGAAAAAAAAGCCACCTCCTGCATCCACACCCCCATCCCCACACAGTTTGTCAAGTAAAAGCCCCATCAACCAGAACCATATACACAATTTAACTTCAGCATGCAAACTTGGAAAGAGCAATAAACACAATCACATCATTAGGAGGGAGACTATGCGGAACAAGGGAGAGACCCCAATGCGCAGTCGAGACAGGTCGGATGACGGCACCCCACCCTGCTCGGGGGTCCCCCCAAGCGCCGCATGGGTGGGCGCCCGGCTCCGCCCCCACAAGGAGATGTGACTCCAAGGAGTCCCCCAGGGGAGGCAGAACCTGCGGTCCTCCCAGCCCAAACGGGTACCAGAAACCTGCCCCTCACCTCCCCGCCGAGGGTCCATACGACAGTCAGTATCAGAAACCTCCAGATCATCCAGAGGAGGCGGTGTGGTGAGTCCAATATCGGATATACCTGTAATGTCCCGAGCACCTGGCCAGGTGCCAGACCAGCTGCCGCCATGGGACCCCAGCCACAGACAGGGCATATGGCGGGCTCAAAGCATAGGGAAACAGCACTCACAGTTCACTGGATGCGAGGCCCCCTGGGGTGATCATCGGTCAGGGGGGCTCTCCAACTATTCCTGGGTCCACGGGCCGGCCTGGGCGAGAGGGGACCACCTGGCGAGGGATCCGCAAAAAAGTCCAACCAGTCCGGAATAGGAGTTGCAGCTGTATCCTGGAAGGCAAAAAGGGCCGGTAGCTGGTCAGGCGTGTGCAGCTGGAACGTACGGTTGCCACGGGTCACAACAAGGTGAATAGGGTGACCCCAATGATATGTCGCCTCTACCTTCCGGATGACCTCCAATAACGGCCGTAGGACCCGGCGCATTCTTAGCGTGTGACGGGACGCATCCGGCATCACCTGGATCCTGGCTCCGTCTAAATCCATGGGGTACGTATGCCATGCCTGACGGAGTATTTCCTCTTTGATGGCGTAAAAATGGACCCGGCACAGGACATCTTGCGGAGGACCAGACACGGCAGCCCGAGGACCCAGGGCTCGATGCACCCTATCCAATTCAACGGAAGTGGGTGGTGCCCTGTCCAG